CCCCAGTGCTCTCAAGTCCTTTTTGACTGCAATTGTCATACACTGTCCTGGTTTCAGCTAGGGTGGAGTTAATTTTCTTCACAGGGGATCTGGGATGATAAAATGTTGATAACATGCTGATGTTTTGAGCTGTTGCTAGGTAGTCAAGGACAGTCCAGCTTCTCATGCTGGCCTGTTAGCAAGAAGGCTGGGGGTGGACGGGAAGCTGGGAGGGGACACAGCCAGGACAGCTGACCCAGGCTGGCCAAAGGGATATTCCATACCATACAGCCTCATGCTCAGTATATAAAGCTGGGACAAAGAAGAAGGATGGGGTGGAGGTAAGTTTGGAGTGATGGCGTCTGTCTTCCTAAGAAACCTTTACATGATCGAGCCCTGCTTCCCTGGGGATGGCTGAACACCTGCCTGCCCATGGGAAGCAGTGAATGAATTCCTTGTTTTGCTGTGCACGGCTTTTGCTTTACCTATTAAACCGTCTTTATCTCAACCCATGAGTTTTCTCACTTTTACTCTTCCGATTCTCTCCCCCGTCCCACCGCAGGGGAGTGAGTGAGCGGCTGCGTGGGGCTTAGTTGCCGCCTGGGGCTAAACCACCACAGTCCTTTTTGGTGCCCAACGTGGGGCACAAAGGGTTTGAGATAATGACAGATGTGACTGGAATGTGCTAGATGGAATTTATAGCTGTTATTGCTGTTTAGCTATTAATTGGCAGGCTCCTGTGCTTGCCATGGGTTTGCTTTCTTTGCATATAATAGAACCTAGTGCTCGTTAGTGGCTGCTTTTTGCTTTTGCTGCTGCCATGCTGCTGATCATCTGGCTCTGCTGTGCCTGGGAGGATTTTGATAACAGCAATGGCCTTGCACCTGGGCTGGCAGATGGCCGGGGCATCGCTGCTGTTTCTGTGCCACTGTATTGGACAGGCTGGAACTCCACTGTGAACTTCAGTTGAAGAGACTGTGACCTGTGGATGAGTCCATGGGGGAGCAGGACACCCCGAAGCGTCTGTGGCTGTGGATAAGTCCACACCAGAGCGGGTGCGCCTCAAAACGACCGTGGCTGTGGGTAAGTCCATGCCCACACAGGTATAGCTCTCTGATGGGATTGTGGCACAAGAATAAGTCCATGCTGGAGAAGGTACATCTCAAAGCATCTGTGGCTGTGGATAAATCCATCTTGCAGCAGGTACATCTTGAAGCATCAGTGGTTGTGCATGAGGTCATGCTGGAGCACCTCAAAGGGTGTGGCCATGGAGAAGCCCTTGACAGTGCAGGTACATTCCTGGAGGGACTGGAACTATGGGTAAGGCCACGCTGGTGCATATATATCTCTGGAGGTAGTGTGGCCCCTGGAGGAGGCCATTTTGGAGCAGGTGCACCTCGACGTGACTGCAACTGTGGGTAAGTCTATGCCACTGCAGATATACCCCTGGAGAGACTGTGGCTCATGGAAGGGACTGCAGTCTCTGGATAAGGCCAAGCTGGAGCAAGGGCAAGGGGAGGAATTCATTGCAATGTTAAACTCTATGGTCCAGTCTAAAAGGCCCAGGAGTGGAGATTGTAATGCAAATACCTTTAAATTGTTGTAACCCATGATTTGGGTTGCATGTTATAAGAACTACTATAGCAGGAACCACCTGAACCAATGGAGGACAAGCCTTACAAGAAGCAGTGCCAGTGTAGCAGTGACCTGACCTGAGCTGGCTTTTGTGCCCAGTAACTCCATGCAACACCTCACCTTGCCTGTCCTGAGTGACCACCGTAAGGGATGGAGCCCAAAGTCATGGACTAAATGAAGTCAATGGACATTTCACGGACATTTTGCAGGGAGGTCTATGGATTAAGGGGACAATAATCTGTGTACTATATTAAAGGACGGGAAGGGTCGTGGTGGATAATGAGGTTGTATTGGATAGTGTGGTATCTGAGCATAACATAAATGGTATGGAATAAAATGCATGATGTGTAGAGGGGACCCTCCCTTCATAAGCTGCCAATATCTCCTTTTTAGTTGGAGTATAGCGGGACTCAGATCCCCTATATGCTCAACTCCAAAACCCTAGAGGTCAACCTTGGGTCTCTCCTGGTGCTTTCTTGGTTTGGCTGAAACCAGAACATACACCAAGGCACATTAGTCTCACTTCATCTCTTCACAGATCATTAAAAACCCCTGCTATTTCAGGAAATTCAATGGTCAGGTTAACTCAGGTGTTGACCAAAGTTTACAGTAAACTCAGTAACTAACTGCACACTGGGAAAATATGTCTACATAATGAAAAATGATTGCTATAATTTCATTTATAAAAATATAATTTTCTTTATTTTAATGTATCAGCTCCCAAAAGAGTTTAAATGTTGCTTCAAACATATCAACAAAACAGGATCCTATTTAGAGCTAGTAACATCTCTAAGCATGTAGTCAATTCCAAGAGCTCATTTTCGAACTCTAGGAACAAGAGCAAGAAAATTGCCTGAATATTAAAATGTGTGTCATATTAAGTATTCTTCCACAAATAAAGTTACTGTAATTTACATACTCTGTCAAATATAATCAGATAAATGTGTATTATTTGATAATTTAACTGCCATAAATTCAATTCTGTGACACAGAAAACAGGATACTTACCTTTCATGATTTGGCAACTGTTGCCTGGATTGAATAGCTGTAATTAATTCAACAAAAAACTCTGGTTTTATAATTGGTCGACCACAAATCAAAGCACATATAGTCTGAAAAGACAGAAAAATCTACATTTACTCTACGGAAAAAGTTCAACTAGAATATTGTTCAATTGACATTAGCTTTTTATGATGTCAGATGTGGAAAATGTCACACAAACAAAGACAACAATACTGAATTTTGCTACTGAAAAAAAAAGGATAGTTTTGCTTCTAACAGCCTAGCTTTTAATTGCTGTCTTGACCAAAGTTATGAAAATGTACAGGGCAACCGATGAAAATCAGTAACAGTCTTCAAAATTGGCTTTTTCATTTTCTTTTCCTCCAAACTCTCATCAACATACATCTCTTTCTAAACTTGAAAAAGGGAGAGTTGACTTCATTGCTTTGTAGATGGAAAACCTTGAGCAGGTCTATAATTTAATTCACATTTGTGGCAAAACAGAATGCAATGCCACCAATATGCAAAAGCTCAACATACCTTAACAGTAACTTTTACTGATACCATTACAAGGTGAGTACACTCTTTTGTCCATTCATTCACTACAAGACCTCCAAGCTGCTGGATGGCTTGATTTAAAGCAGTTTTCTGAGCAACATCTAAACATGAGGAGCAGACAACCAAAGGTTCATACTCTACTCTGAAAAGAACAAGTAAAAAATAATTGCTTTAGTTATTTCAGCCAATCATTATGATGAACAGAGCTGACAACTATTGTGTATATGTCTCTGGGAAATCTGGGTCTGGGGCGGGGCAGACACCTGTAACTCTTACCTAGATCAAAGACTGTGCTTTAAGTAAACACTGATTTTTATTCAGAAAAATTAACAACATTTTGACTTGATGTCAGAAATATTTCTAAGGACTTTTGGGCCTTTCACAGACATCACACAGAACTAGTGCTTCAAGAATACTGGTCAGGGAATATGAGAAGAAATTGAGCGTGTGCTTCCAAAGACAAAAGTATACTCAACAAAACAGTCCACAAACAGACTAGTATTTAAAGAATGTAAGTACCATAGAATGCAAGTTTAAGTAACGTTTTTTCCTAACACTGCCATTACCCTTGACCACAAGCATATTTATACTTGTAGGTCTTCCATATGGAATTAGAGCATATTAAATTTGATTTTCTTTAGTCTACAAAGCAGAAAGAAGTTTAAATAATCTTTCTGGTACAACAGTCACGATTATCTAGTCTCATGGAATGATTTCTGTACCACATTTTAGGTGTTTATCTAAAATATCAAAAATAATTTACTGTAGTAAGCAGAGGAGAATGATGTTTCTTCCATCAAATAATACCAGCAGCAGTGACAAAACAGTCAAATTTTAAGGAACAAAGCCAACTTCTGGTTGCTTTCATGTTGATTTTAATGGTCATTAGAATTTTTTCTATTTATTTAAAGCATCCTCCAGCTATCTCAGTTCTTTTCTTGTTACATTATCAACAGCTAACAAAGGCTCAGACAAGCTCTCTCCCTACCCTAAACCTTCCTCCCTGCTTCAGAATCATTTATGTTTTAGGATGTTGTTCTTTGCCTAAGATAGCCTGATAACACTCACTGTACATCATCGTCTAAAATGCCAATACTTTACTATGAGCAATTTTAATCTCTCAGTGTCAAAATAAATTACAGTATAAAAATATGCAATGGAAAACTATTGCAGAAACATAGGCAAAATATTACTCATCTCCTTTGCTTTCTAAAAACTCATCATTGCTGTATCACTTGCCAAGTTGTATGATGTACAAAAATACTCTTTTACAAAACTGCAATTTTCTACTTCATATTTTATTACCAAAGCACTTACCTAAACTTACTCTGAAAGACTCCAAAGTTGATTCTGTCACCAGACTGCAATGACACTGACCTGCCATTGAGTTTTGATCCATTAACAAAGGTACCATATTTAGATGTATCTGTCACTGTTAATACAGGCACTGAGAGAGATGGGCTCTGAAAATAAACATTAATAAGCCATTATAGTTTATCAGAATTAGATAGTTTTACCAGAAACAGGTTATTACCATTATGGATCAAAGCAGTATATAAATATGAAAAAGCCCGCAAAATACTATCTTAAATAAGGGCTTTGTACAATGAGGCTGGCTATGTGTAATTATTCATCTTCTGGTTTCCACTATGAAGGAATGAGAGAAAACACATGTATTTTTAACTTCAGAACTTTTGGGCTTCTTACGCTCAGTCTGTTTGGAAGCTGTGCAAAGCAATCTTTCACTGGCCCAAAGCCTCTGCTAGTACAACTTAGCACAGCTCTGAGATTTATAATTGATGCTTTTACCTCTCATTCAGCCCTGGCATAGGTGCCCAAGTCACTATCTCCTACCTCCTTCCTTGAGCACAGCTAGTCTTCCACAAGCTGCAGGGCATGGTGACACCAGCATGTCTTGAGAAGAGGTTAGAAACTGTCATATTTCACAAATGGTTCACAAGCCAATGAGAACACTGTCAGCTCATTTTTACAAAATTCTACCATGTAGTTATTACACTACTTTCAGTATTAAAAGGACAAATAAATTTTATGTATGGTTACATAAAT